TTAAGTGAATCCCTGAAGTTGTTAAGTCAGTAACATGGTTGTTAAAGAAATTTGGCTTCTCCGTTGGCTAAATCAGTGGTTCTTAACCTGGGCGATATTGCCCCCAGGGGGCGATTTCATTTTTCAGGGGGGTAATGGAACAAAAAGGGGCGACGCGGGGGCGAAGGAACGAAAAGGGGGAGATATGGGGGCGATAGAGCAAGAAGTTTTGGGGACACTTTTGAGACTTTTTCGTACAGTGAATCACTGTATATCTGATGAAAGGGGGAGCGCTTCTTTCAAAATATCACATGCTGAGTGGCTCTGTAAAACATTTTGTATTGTACTTTTTTAGCATGCACTCCAGTTCGATATATTTTCTTTGTGTCTTTTTAATCCTTTTTACAGTGTGCGTGACTATATATACTTTCCTTGAATCTTAATTTAGTTTCAGAGTTTTCGTCTTGAAATTCTTAGTTCCTGCATTGCGGTTTGTTCTTATGCCCTTTTTATATTTCTTTCTGCATCTTAAATTTCACTTCTAATTCAATCATTAAATGTTACTCTTTTTCTTTTTGGGCATTTCACTTTCTTGCAATTGAATTTTGTTTTTAGTGGTCATTACATTTAAGTGTCTTGAATAGATAAGATAATAATGAAATATATGTATCACGAAGTTTGGGAATAAAGTGATGGGTGGCACCAAACTTTTTTCACACAGTTGAGATATGGGAAAAAGACTGGAAATAAATTATTTGCATCTATATGTCCTGATGACAATTTTAAAGAAAACAAAAAAAGTGTTTGGATAAATTGAAGAATTATTTCCTATGTTGTGATTGAGAAGGTTATGTTGGGGGAGGGGGGTGATGACAACTTCCTCATTGGCTCAAGGGGGTAATTTGTTCAAAAAGGTTAAGAACCACTGTGCTAAACCACCTGGTTTTAACCTGCCTCGCTCTGTCTGGTCAAAATTGAAGAGACTTAGGTGTGTTACTGGAAGAAGTTCCTCTGCTCTGTATCAGTGAGGGATGAAAAGATACTGTTCTGTCCCAGCCTACGTGAGTCCTTGTTAAACTCACAAGGAGAAACCCCTTTTCCAACAAGCAGGCTGGAACCGCAGGAAAAAACCAATCCCCTTTTATTATTTACAGACCTGAGTAAAATATCCAAGGGCAAGCAAAACACAGTTCACTGAAACTTGATTCCTTAACACAAATGGTTGCCTTCAGCAACCAGCAACCAGCACCTCCCACACCTTCCCTTTTATTATGTAGCCAAGGCGTGGCTTCCTAATGCCTTCTGCTTTGCCTTTGGAGCTGTCCTATTGCATTCCTCTATCCAACTCTCTTTGCCTGCCGGCATTTACGTGCATCCTGGATATCTTCCAGCTGTGAGTTATCACTATCCAACTCAGACTCCCAGCACAGCTGTGTCTCAGCCTGAGCGCGAGTAGAGGGGCCAGGCTCCTCGTCAGACTGTAAGCCTTCCTCTGATTCTGATGTCCCTCTAGGCCAGTGGTCCTCAACCTTTTTAATGCCGCGACCCCCAACCGGTCATAAGTCGAGGACTACTCAACTGGTGCAGCACCGTTTGCAGAATGGGAATTTTGGCGGGCTCAGCAGGGCAGAGACAGCCTGGACAATTCCTATTGGCTTTTGAAAGCCAATAGAATTAGACTCTATTCAAGAGAGTCTATTCTATTGGCTTTCAAAAGCCAATAGAATAAAAGGGAGTAGCACAGCTAAGGAAAAGGGGGAAAAAATGGCAGACTGCGTTGTTTGGCGACCCCCATGAAATGGTCGTTAGACCCCAAATGGGGTCCCGACCCACAGGTTGAGAACCACTGCTCTAGGCCCCTCCTCCTCCTTCTCTGATTCCCCAGACTCAGCTGCCAGGTCCACTGGCTGACGAGGAATCACAACAGATACCTCTTGTTGTGCTTATGGTACTGATATGCAAACTGTTAAACATATTGTGCAAGACTGTTCACTTTCTCTGGTTCTTTAGAAGGTCTTCATGAAGCAACTCCAGAGGCGATCACCTGGATAGCTGAATTGGACATCCATACCCGAGTAGAAGTTCTGTACAAAATTATGTGGGTTGTGTGCATATGTTTACTTCTTTTCTCTAATGTTCTCATCATGCACTAAATAATAATAAATAATAACTACAATTACACTCTTCCATCCAACTGGGATGCAACAGGTGTTATTTACAATATGCCTCTCAATCATAGATCCATCAAGATTTCACCCATTACACTTCCTGTGATGGAGACCACTGAGAATAGGCTAAATAGGAAATGGATGATGCTGTCCCAATGTACAAAAATGTTATCAACACATTTAAAGATAAAATAATGTTAGAGCGAATGCAGCAGCCAAGTTCCACAAAGCATGTCAAAGACCATACGCCAAAAGGCAGAAAAACAGTGAAATATTCAGGGATTTCTTGCAAACATTAATCGGAGATCTATAGCTCTGGTAGCTAAAATGAATAGAAGCTTTCAGGATCTGTGATGATTTTAACATCACCATCAGTCCACTATTACAGGTGCATTTTTGTTAACCTCAGATGAATTTTTTTCAAAAATATTCATATAATATTGTAAAAACACAAACTATAGTTGTTATAACTATATTACAGTCTGTATCTTAGTAATGACAGGTGTAGTAGGTTAGTGTTAGGGACTGATTAATCCTACCTATGATCTTATATTGTTAGTCAATTATCTTGGGCTGTATATGTTGAACTAGATGATCTTTCCAGTTCCATGATTTTATGTGGTGGAACCTGCTCCTGATATATACATTTCTTGATTGATCAGTAGAAACATCTGCTAATGCTTTTTTGAGGGCTTTGATTATTAAGGGAAACATGCTCGAAGTATAAAACCAATTATGTGAAACTGCATTCAGGTACTTGTTTTTCCATGGCATTCCTATAAATTGTATAAAAAAAATTCAGTACTGTTGTAGATGTGAGAAAATTAAATACACCTGAATTAAAGATTTATATATACATGAATGCATGCATGCATACATGCATACATATTCATACGTACATACATACATACAGTACATACATACATACATACATTTGAAAGAGACATAGTATTTAGCACCCAGCTGCTTTGGGGGAGGGGCTGAAAAATTCTTTGCATTTGGCCCGAAATCAGAGCTACTGGCTTAGTATACTTGAAAATCCTTCTGCTGTCCCAACCATTCAAGTTCTTTCTGTAAGACATTTGAGACCCTGATTTCCCCCTTCCCTTTACTTTTTTTAAAAAAGTCTCTGGAATGTAGATATTTTGGTTAATTTTCTCCAGCTGTCACAGAGTCTCATATGAAATTGAGAATATTCTAAAGAAGAAGGGGGGAAATGTAAATAATAGAAGATTACCGTTACATAATCGCTGTTAAAAAGGGGGGAGGAGTACATACTGTGTGTGTATGTGTGTTATGTTTTGTTTTGTTTTGTTTTTGTTGGTTAAAAATTTTAAAAAAAATAAAAAAAGAAAGAAATTGACCTCATGGAATGACCACTTCCCAAGCCCTTGATTTAAGTGTGTTTTTTTAAGCTTTCATCACATCATCCCCACTGCTGTCTGAGACCGTAAATTAATCTATGTATATGTGTTTGTATATTTATTTCATGAAGCTTACTTTTAAGCACATTTATTAGTGTATGTGTGTGTGTATCATATTAACAGAATAACAGAGTTGGAAGGGACCTTGAATGTCTTCTAGTCCAACCTGCTGCTCAGACAGGAAACCCTATACCATTTCAGACAAATGGCTGTCCAATCTCTGAAATGGTCCGTGAATCAATATTAATTCATCTGATTTAAATATCTGTATCTAGATCTAGAAATATCTAGTTCTAGATATATTTGATATATGTTTTACATATTGATATAATGATAGCTGTCTTCTAATACTTGAGGGGCAGTCAACAGGGTTGACTTATTCCCCAAAGCACCACAGGACAAGACAAGAAGCAATGGGTGGAAACTCATTAAAGAGACATCCACCCTGGGACTAAGGAGAAATTTCCTGACAGTGAGAACAATTAACCAATGGAACAGCTTGCCTGGTGTTGTGAGTGCTCCATACCTGGAGTTTTTCAAGAAAATATTGGACATTCATTTGTCCAGGATGGTATAGGACACCAGAGCTCCAGAGCCGCATGTGGCTCTTCGAGCCTTCTCCTGCAGCTTCCAGCCTACTCTGCCATTTGCAGAGAGAGAGAGACAGAGAGAAGCACTTGCACTTCTCTCTCTCTCTCTCTCTCTCTCTCTCTCTCTCTCTCTCTCTCTCTCTCTCTCTCTCTCTCTAAAAAAGAGTGGCCTCACTGACAAGCTTATTGGGTGGGGCTCCTCCCTTTGCTGCTTCTCTGCAGGAAGCAGGAAGAGCCAGCCCAATAAGAACGTGTGTCAGCTTGTTGGAGAAGAGCCTGAAGCCAGCTTGAAAATCAGAGAGAGGGAGAGAGGGGAGAGAGGGGGGGGAGAGAAAGAGAGATAGGGAGAGGGAGAGGAAAAAGAGAGAGAGAGAAAAAGAGAGAGGGGGAAAAAGAGAGAGAGGGGGAGAGGAAAGAGAGAAAGAGAAAGAAAGAGAGAGAAAGGGAGAGAGAGAGAACTCATGCACAGCAGCCTCTGTATTTTTTAATTAAACTCTTCAATCAAGCTCCCCATCCCTTGCGTGTGTGTGCGCATGCGCGCGGGTGCACACACAAGTTTTGCAGCTTTCAGTGTTTTCTTTTCTCTGGGAAATGGGTCCAAGTGGTTCTTTAAGTGTTTAAGGTTGCAGACCCCTGGTATAGGAAATCCTGCCTTGGGCAGGGATTGGACTGGAAGACCACCAAGGTCCCTTCTATGATTCTAAATGATCTCTTCTCAATGTTCTATAAAACCAATAGTACTGTAGATGTTGCCACTAGAAAATGACCATTGAAAATATTTTGGATTTTGCCAGCATTAATCAGACTCAATGACTCTTTTTTTTCTGACTCCTCCCCAGATTTCCTACAACCACTTCGCCAAGTTGCAACTGCTGAAAAACAGCAGCAGTTTTCCACCATTTGGAGGTGAGAAAAAATGAAACTGTAACATTGTCTTATAATAAACAGATAAAAACAAGCAAAGACAAAAATATCCCTCAACTTTTCCCAACTTGAAAATCCATAACAAGAAACTAAACCCAGAATTATGACAGGCCTTGGCCTGTACTATTCTTAAATTCTCTATGATTAAATATCTTCAAAAAGTAGACATGATGAAAGCATCAGTACTTGGCATATTCACACAGTTTCTGATCTAGAATTAAAATTTGCCCTGATCCTTGACTCAGTTTTTTTGATGAATGCAGAACTATGCAGACTCCATTAAATGATAAATGATGACTGTATTACCACCCACTAGGGGGAGCCATTTAAAGCAGGACTTTGGACATTCTAGGAAATGTAATGGTGATGTCAAGTCATTCATTACTCATTAAAGTCCTGCCAGTCTTAAAAGAAGGAAGTTTTCCATTTCTGAATGGCTGCTCTTGAAGAAAGCTGGAAAGGAAATAAGGCAATGAATTTACATCTAAACTTGTAAAACCCAAATGAAACCTATTTTAAAAAATAATGAAGATCCTTGGGTTTTCTCTTAGTGCTGTCCTACTATATTATGGATACATAAAATTCCAAAGAGTTGGTGTTCAGCATTTTCCTTCAGTACGTATATATGTTAGGCATGGTTACATTGAAATGTGTTTGTGTTTCAAAGCAATAAATATAATATAAGAGCACACCCTAATTGGCCTCTAGCGTCTGCAATATTTATTCAGAATAATAGTTATTAATAATAGGTGTAATAAAAAAATAAAAAGTAATTCCTTTGGAATGAGTGCTCTCCAAACATTATTATTAGGAATTCTTTTGCTTTACCTTTTAAGGAAAGTAGCAGCTTCCAACATGTCAGGTTTCTAAATCACCTGATAGTTTGAAAAGAGGTATTTGAGTAATTTCTCAAAGCTACAAGGTGAATACTTTACTGGCTCTATTGTTTTAGAGCCTGAGCTCTGTAAAAAAAAACATCTGGCATGTAAATTAAAAACATTTCCCTTTCTATTTAATTGGATTCCATTTTGCTGCAGAGTTGAATAGTGACAATTCTTGTGAAAAATGACAGGATTCAGGGATTTCTATCCAGCTTGCTCACAAGATTGCCAAGTTTATCAATAGCAACATGCCCAAGGTAGTCAGACTCAGGCATGGATTTGCATAATTAGACCAGAGAACCCAAAAAGGAAAATAAGGCTGGATGCATTCATCTGTAGAATCAGCCTAGCCTTGTTCTGTTGGTTAGTGCTGATGGAAGATCAGTTGTCAGGGATGGGGGAATGAATTGGTTGAGAGATATGGGCAAACACATTGAAACAGCAAGAGCCCATTGAATTAATGCCATTTACTCAAAGTATTAGGTAAGATAGTGCACCAGAAATAATAATGGTGAGCTAATAGCGATGTATGAACTTAGCTATTATGGTTTGCAGTCATAACTTATATCAACCCATCCAATTGTGCCTTATTCAAACAAACCGTAATGAAGCAAACATAGAACTATGTTATGAATCAAACATTCTGAAAATTATGTCATGGATTGATACATAGTGAATTCCTCTTTTGTTTTTAAAAAGAACTACGTATAAATGGAAGAGAAATCATGGATATAGGAGCATACATGGGAGGGGGGTCAGAAAAAGGTCCAGTTGGTGACCCGAAAACTGCAGCCAAAGTCTTGTCCCCTTTTTTATCTGTGATATGTGCAGTACCATTCAAAAAAAGAGTGAGGCTTCAATTGCACAGCTATGGCTGCCATCTTGATTTTGTTTACCTCTCCTATGGACACCCATGCACAAATGAAGTTGACCCACTTTGATAGATACTCCTTCCAAAATGTACTTGATGAGGACTCTAGAGAAGGTTCACAACCAAACAAAGAAGCCATAATCAAATTTACCACTCCTACTCTTCTGGTTTTGCAGTTCCCCTTCCATTACTGTAACGCACTCTACATGGGGCTACCCTTGAAGGGCGTTCAGAGGCTGCAGTTGGTTCAGAACGCAGCCGCGAGAGCGATTGTGGGCGCGCCAAGGTACGCGCACGTGTCACCTATCCTCCGCGAGCTGCACTGGCTTCCTGTGGGTCTCCGGACGCAATTCAAGGTGTTGGTTATCACCTTCAAAGCCCTTCATGGCATAGGGCCAGGTTACTTACAGGACCGCATTCTGCCGCACAGCTCCCAGAGACCAGTGAGGTCCCATAGATTGGACCTCCTTCAGGTCCCGTCGGCCAGACAATGTCGGCTGGCGGGCCCTCGGGGAAGGGCCTTTTCTGTGGTGGCTCCGACCTGGTGGAATCAACTTCCCCCCGAGGTTCGAACTACTCCCACCCTGCTGGCCTTTAAGAAAGCCGTTAAAACTCTCCTGTTCCGGCAGGCCTGGGGCTGATGTCCCCGGGGGGCCGGGATATGATCGGACTCCCGGTATGACTGGATTATTTTATTGTTTTACGACTGTTTTTAACTTTGTACGCCGCCCTGAGTCCTTTGGGATTGGGCGGCATATAAATATTTGTAAATAAATAAATAAATAAATTTTTTTTTAAAAAAATCACATGGCTGTAAATATCACTTTCTTTCCATAGAATGATCATTTTTGGAAATACAATAAAGGCCATACATTTATAATTCCAAAGAGAGATACATTAACAAACCATTGAAAAATAGGAATAATAGCACAATAAAAAATAAACAGGATGTTATTTACTTGAAAGACTCTCAGTTAACAAGCAGGATTATGGCGTTGAGTTGAGCAGAAGTGTTTCATTAAAAAATTAGGAATGCTTATTCTCTTATGGATTTAGGTGAACACATGTCCTGTTTCCTGAACAGGTTTGAGATCTCTATAGTAAAAATATCCATTTTTCCCTTCCCAAGAATCATTGAGTTATAATATTACATCTCATATATTAAACAGTTTGCAATTATTAAATAAACTTACTCTAGGCCAAATGAGTATCCGGCTGGTGTTCTATCCAGTGGTGGGATTCAAATAATTTAACAACTGGTTCTGTTCGCCATCATCACTGGCGCGACACACCTCGCATATTCATCATCACCCCATTGTCATCATCACCAGTGTGACACGCGTCGCATTGACATCATTGCTGCTGTGATATGCGTCACATTGACATCATCACTGGCACAATATATGTCGCATTGACGTCATCATCGGCATGACACATCTCGCGGCAGTGACATCACCAGCACAATGTGCCTTGTAGATTTATAGTAACCAATTTGCCGAACTTAATAAACCAGCTGGTGCGAACCAACTGAATCCCACCACTGGTTCTATCTGATGGGTCACTAGAGGAATAAGATAACCCTTTGGATTCTTTCTATCTTTTTGTACCTCTGCTTATATGTTTCTTTATCTACTGAAATGGGTAGTTCAGGAACCAGAAGGCAGTTTCCATTAGAAGATAGTTAGTATTAGACCAGTGTTTCTCAATTTAACGGTTTTAAGATGTGTCGACTTCAACTCCTGGAATTTTCAAGCTAACATGCTTAGGTCTTTGCTTTGCATGCCAAATGGGGAAATTGAGGAGTTGAAGTTCACACATTTTAAAATGGCTCGGGTTTGAAAAAACACTGGGTTCAACCATCTGTAAATAGATTACCTGCTGAACAATAGGGGCACGTAATCATCATATGTATCAGTGAGAGTGTGAAAGTGATTATTATTATAATAATAGAGTTGGAAGGGACCTTGGAGGTCTTCTAGTCCAATCCCCTGTTCAGGCAGGAAACCCTATACCATTTCAGACAAATGACTGTCCAGTGTGTTCTTAAAAATTTCTAGTGTTGGAGCATTCACAACTTCTGGAGGCAGGTTGTTCCACTGATTAATTGTTCTAATTGTCAGGAAATTTCTCCTTAGTTGTAGGTTGCTTTTTTTCTTTGATTAGTTTCCATCCATTGCTTCTTTTTGTCCTGCTTTAGACAGATAGCATTTATTGTCATTTTTTTCAGGTGCTTTGGAGAATAGGTTGACACCCTCTTCTTTGTGGCAATCCCTGAGATATTGAAACACTGCTATCATGTCACCCCTACTCCTTCTCTTCATTAAACTAGATATACCCAATTCCAGCAATCTTTATATGTTTCAGGCTCCAGTCCCCTAATCATCTTTGTTGCCCTTGTCTGTCCTCCTTCTAGAGTCTCAACTTCTTTTGTACATCATAGTGAGCAAAACTGGATGCAGTAGTCCAAGTGTGGCCTTACCAAGACATTATAAAATGGTATTAAAACTTCATGTGATCTTGATGCTATCCCTTTGTTAATGCAGCCTAGTACTGTGTTGGCTTTTTTGGTAGTGCAGCACACTGGCTCATATTTAAGTGATTGTCCACTAGGACTCTGAGATCCCTCTCACACTTACTATTATTGAGCAAAGTACCACCTACACTGTACCTGTGCATTTGGTTTTTCTTGCCTAAATGTAGAACCTTACTTTTTTCGCCATTGAATTTCATTTGTTAGATAGCGCCCAATGTTCAGATCTGTCAAGATCTTTCTGTATCTTAAGCTTATCTTCTGGAGTGTTGGCTATTCCTGCCAGCTGGGGGATCATCTACAAATTTGATGAGTTCTCCATCTATCCCCTCATGCAAATCTTTAATGAAGATGTTGAAGAGCACTGGGCCCAGAACAGAGCCCTAGGATACCCCACTCCACACTTTCCTCCATGTAGATGCAGTTCCATTGAGGACCACATGCTGAATACAGCCAGTCAGCCAGCTACGAATCCATATGGTGGTGGTAACCCACATTTTTCTATATTATCAAGTAGTAGGTTGTAATCTACTTTATCAAATGCCTAACTGAGGTCCAAGTAAATTATATCCACAGCATTTCTTTGGTCCACTAATTTTGTTACCTGGTCAAAGAATGCAACAAGATTTGTCTGGCATGATCTGTTTTTGACAAACTCATGTTGGCTTTTGGTAATAACTTTGTTTGCCTCTAGTTGTTT